GCGGCGGCGGGGTCGGCGCCGAGCGCGCGGCGGCGCGCGGGGGCGCCGACGGCGCGCAGTGCGAAGAGCGCGCCCTCCGCGTGCTGCCAGGTGGGGGCAGAGACGGCCGCGTCCCGCAGGGCGAATAGGAAGGGCGCCCCAACCATGTTGTAGACAATTTCCAGGAGCTCTGCCACGCTCTGCTCGCGAAAGCTGCCGGGCAGCCGCGCGGGGGTCAGGGACGGGGCGGTCGGGTGGAGGCGGGGGCGGATGCGGCCGCGGGCGTGCGGGCGTCATCGCGCTTTCTGGGCTGCCGGTCGCGACAAGGGTGACAGACGGGGGGCGCGCGCGCGCCTTTTCACCCCCAGCGACTGCAGCACTGTCACGCATGCGCCCTCTCCCAGTTCACCCCCTTCTCACCAGCCCGCTCTCCATTTGAGTGGGCCATCGTGCCCCTGACATACCCGTGGGTCCGGTTCCGCCACTTCCCCAAAGCTCACCGCACGAACGCCTCCTCGTCCTCCTCCACGCACTCCTCCCAGCCCTCAAAGCCGGCCGGGTAGCAGCAGTGCACGAGCAGCGGCTGCGCCAGCGAGCCGTACAGCGGTGCGCCCATCTGGGGGTGGCGCTGCGCCACGGGGACCGTGTTGACCATCAGGAAGTACTCGACGCACGCCTGGCACACCTGCGGTGACGTCATCGAGGGCCGGGGTGACGTCATTGGGGGCAGGGGTGACGTCCTCGGCGGCCACGGTCAGGTCAGCCAAGGGCCCGACGGACAGATGGATGAGGGCGGATGATAAGGGGACAGGTGGCAGTGAGGGAGAACAGCACCAACTCGCCATCACACACAGTGATGCCGCAAGAGGAGAGGAGAGAGCGGAGGAGGAGGGCGATGGGAGAGGGGAGGAGCAAATGGCTGTTGAAAAGCAACGGATGTTTGTCAGTGCGCTCTGAAGGGCGCTCAACAGCCGCAAGTGCGCCCCCACCGCGAAGCCGCGCACCTCGCGCTCCGGCCGCTGCACGCACTGCAGCATCAGCTCCGCCAACGGCAGCGCCGCCGCCCCCGCGCACGCCGCCTCCGCGTCCCGCTCAGCCAGCGCCGACGCGACCGCCCCCGCCGCCCGCGCCGCCGCCGCGCCGGCGG